TATATAGATAATAACTAAGTATTCTGTTAGTTATCAATGATCATCATAATTATATTTTAGATTTTTTATATTTAAAATGAGATGTTTATCCAATATTTGATTATGTTTATCTGCAATTAGTTAGACGAATTCAAATATGGAGCTTTAATAAGTTGTATTTATGCACAATTTACTTGTAATCTTAAATTTTAATTAACATGCATCAATAAACAATATTTCATGCATAAAAAATCGTTTTTAAGAGTTTTTGTCAAATGTTTTATAATATAGTATAGATTTTCTTAATTAAATTTCTTTAATTATCATTTAATTTAGGGTTAGTAACAAAGAAATTTAATTTAGGTTTAATACTATAATTTTTTATAAAGATAATAACTAAGTATTATGTTAGTTTTCAATGATTATCCTAATTATATTTTAGGTTTTTTTATATTTAAAATGAGATGTTTATCTAATATTTGATTATGTTTATCTGCAGTTAGTCAGACGAATTCAAATATGAAGTTTTAATAAGTTGTACTTATACACAATTTACTTGTAATCTTAAATTTTAAGTAATATGCATCAATAAACAATATTTTGTGCATAAAAAATCGTTTTTAAGAGTTTTTGTCAAATACTTTATAATTTAGCTAGTACTCGCGAAATTCAGCGAGATAAATCTTCATTTGAATGTTTAGTTTTTTTATTTGTCTCTATCAATATAATACGATTTTATGTGGTTTTGAGAAAACGATAATGTTTTTATTTTTGAATAAAATATAAATTTGAAAACAACATAAAAAATTTAAAAGAAATCGGTATTAGTTTTAAATTAACTATTTAATAATTTTCGTTTTTTTGTTGTAACTTCTTTAATTTAATATTTTATTATAATTTAATTTAGGTCTAATAACAAATTAATTTATTTTTGGTTTAATAATATAATTTTTATTAAAGATAATAATTAAACATTCGGTTAGAAACTCAATGATTATCTTAATAATATTTTAGATTTTCTATATTTAAAATAGATGTTTATCTTGTATTTGATTACGTTTATCTGCAGTTAGTTACACGAATTTAAAAATGAAACTTTAATAAGTTGTATTTATGCAAAATCACTTGTAAAAATGAAACGTCGGGCAAATGTGGAGAGTAAGGGGAAAAGGAAAAAAATATAAAAGAGATTATTATTGCTTTACATTTGTAAATTTTCGGGAAGCTATTATTGTACATGTACTTAAGAACTTGATATGCTTGAAAGTCATGTACTTGATGTAAATGAAAAAAAATTGTAGCTACTTTTGTATGTAGCATTTTATATATATTGGGACTAATGTGTATATTTGTATTTCATGTTATATGAAATATGTGGATTTTATGCAAATGTTGAATGAAGTGTTATAGTTTAGATCTAATTTTGTTACTTTAGTTAGTTTTCACATGTTGTATCAGGTCTCGTAGATTTAAAGTGTGTTCAAATTATAATAGTATTTCTTAAAAAAATGTTCACAATGTGTTTAACTTTGTGTGCAAAATTAATTGTGTATGTGCATGTATGTTACAGAGAGAGAAAAGAGTTATTTAAGTTAAATTAGTTTTTTAACTAATGTTTTGTGGTTTAATTGTGATAACCAGATTTATCAGTTATAAAGTTTGAGGGTGGTTTTTTTAAGTGTTGGAAGATGAGGAGTATATTTTTAATAGTTTTTTTTAAAAATATATCACCATCGCCTTATATATATATATATATATATATATATAGGGGAGCGATCAAATGCAAACCACTCAATTTGTACAAACCGTGCAAACCGCATTCAACCAATCATAATTTTTCATTTTGTTCATTTTTTTGTAATTATGAGAGGTTGATTAATCATTTTTATTGTGGAGGGTGTTNATAACAAAGTAATTTATTTTTGATTTTAATAATATAATTTTTTATGAAGATAATAATTAAACATTCTGGTAGAACTCAATGATTATTTTAATTATATTTTAGATTTTTTATATTTAAAATGAATGTTTATCTTCTATTTGATTATGTTTATCTACAGTTAGTTACACGAATTTAAAAATAGAGTTTTAATAAGTTGTACTTACATAAAATTACTTGTAATCTTGAATTTTAAGTAATGTACATCAATAACAATACTTCATGTATAAAAATTGGTATTTATTAGTTTTTATCAAATATTTTATAATATATATATATATATATAAATAATTTATGCCTGAGAAATCGTTATTTGAATTAATTTTCTCAATTTTTTTTTTGTTGTTCACGTGTAAAACGCAAGATAAGTGGGGCCCACGTTTATTAATCCACTTGGCGTCAATATAAAACCGAAAGGAAATTAATTAATTAAAACAATTAAAAAAGGAAAAAGAAAAAGAAAGAAATGCCGCCTCACACCACAACAATCCCATCCTTGCCGTGTAATTTAGGAAGTGTGAACCCCGGAAACAAGCAGCTCCGCCGCTGATCTCCGCCACGAAAGTTGCCCGTCAAAACTAAAATCCAAACGATTACGTGTCAATCACACATCGTCAATATGAGATAGTATCGTTACGATCAATTATCCTCAATATCGATCTCGTGATCTTGTATTTTTCTCAGATCAATTGAAGAATCAGATAAATCGATGATGGGATACGAGAATCAGGGCTTTGAAGACGCCCAAATCTATGCATCTCGTGAAGAAATGGAGTCTCTTGTTCTTGACGATGACGATAATAACAATAATGGTAACGAAAACAATCCGTCATCCAGATCCAACGGCGGTGCAAACGGAGATAGTATTCAACACCAACACCCTCTTTCTTCAGCCTTGCCGTTTGCGGAAATACCTACCACTGATGACGATGATCCTTTGTTATCTTCGTCATCTCCTCAGAAAAGCCCTAACTCGTTCAATTCGTTCCTCGAACCCCCTTCTTACGCAGAGGCGGTATTCAGATCGTTCGACGGTGACCACGGCAAGCAAATCAATGGCCACGGTGCTGTGTCCACATCTTCTCCGTCTTCCAGTTCCGATTACTTGAAGATTTCCGTGACGGATCCGCAGAAGGAGCAAGATCTAAACAACTCGCTTGTTCCCGGCGGGAACGCCTACATGACGTACTTGGTTACCACATGGACGAATCTGCCGGAGTTTAATGGAACAGAATTTAGCGTCAGGCGACGGTTTAAAGACGTCGTGACGTTATCGGACCGACTATCGGATTCATACCGAGGATTTTTTATCCCGTTAAGGCCTGATAAGAGTGTTGTTGAGAGTCAAGTTATGCAAAAGCAAGAGTTTGTTGAGCAGAGGAGAATGGCTTTGGAGAAGTACCTGAGAAAGCTAGCTGCGCATCCGGTGATTAGGAGAAGCGAGGAGTTGAGACTGTTTCTGCAGGTGCATGGAAAGCTACCATTGATGAAGACGACGGACGTGGCTTCGAGGATGCTTGACGGGGCGGCGAAGCTGCCGAAGCAGTTGTTTGGGGAGTCCGTTGTTTCTGCAGCTGTGGACCCCAATGATGTGTCACAGCCAGCGAAAGGAGGGAGGGATTTGTTGAGGATATTTAAGGAATTGAGGCAGTCGGTTACGAATGATTGGGGTGGAACGAAGCCCCCCGTGGTGGAAGAGGATAAGGAGTTTTTAGAGAAGAGGAAGAAGTTGCAGGATTTCGAGCAGGAGTTGAGTAACGTATCCCAGCAGGTCTGTTGTTTGTCCTTTTAATTATCTGAAGTTAATGGGTTCTGCATCAGGAGTTCATGTACTTCATTCTTGGCTCACCGTTTGGCCTACAAATTCTGTTTAATGCGAATAATGTGTCTAAGAGATTGACGAACATTATATGTAATCTATGTTAATTTTGCACTTGCAAGATATTCAATTCAAAAGTCGTAGGTGAAGAACAGAAAACTTTGGAGTAAGCTAGTGCACTTCATAGCCTAATGTTATAACCAAGCTGAATCAACAGCAATAATAAAATGCAGAAGACTGGTGAGTTGTTTTCAGGTGGTTCAGGATCCGTATTGCTTGATTGAAGATTCTAAAACTTGCGAAATCATTTATTAACTGTGAATTATCTTGGAGGATCTAGTGTAATGTAGAAAGCCATCATTCTACCTCTGTAAGAACAGTTAAACTAGGGGCACTGGTAGGTTGCTTCAACTGAAGGAGGAGCAGAAAGACTGGTAACTAAGTACGTAACCAAACTAATCGGTGCTAGTTTCACGTTGTATGGAATTCCCTTAGATTGACTTTTAGATATCGCATTTGCTGCATAGCATTTAATGTTTGAGATTTCCAGTATGTAATTGATTTGTATATAAAGAAAGTCAATAGTTCAATATTGCATATATACACTACGTCGTGCACCATAAAATACACATGCATGCTTGTGGAATGGTTTTACTTTCATACTCACTAGTCGCTCCCAATGAGTTTTGCTGTTGCTAATGTGGTCAAGAAAAAAAACCTTCTC